GTGTCTCCCTCCCCGCCCGTGAGCTGCCGTGCAACCTGCTGTGCTGTGTGGCAATTGTCTATTTGTCTGTCTCCCCTGCTAGCCTCAGAGCTCTCAGAGATAAGGACCCAACCCTGTGTGCACCCTGGTACCATCACACAGTAGCACTTCATACGCACAGGACACAGGGATGGGTGGGAAGTCCGAGTCTCGAGAGGTGGTCTGGGATCTGATGAGCCAGGTTAGGAACCTGGCTCCCTCTCCACCAGTCTGTGTGCCTAGGACAAGGGACAGAACCCCGACTCACTCCTTTAGCTAGCTGAGTGTTTGCCAGGTCCAGAGTGAGGGGCGCCCAGTCCCTCCCCACTGAACCCTCACTCTAAGGTGCTACAAAGACATTATGGCGGGTAACAGCGTTGGGCTGGGTGGTCGGGAAAGCCTTTCTCAGGAGGTGATGAGTAGGCAAAGGGGGTGTGGGGCAGGGAGAGCGTGTAAAGGCCCGCGGGCAGGGGAAGAGGGATCTGATTACGGGAAATGTCAGCATTGGCTGAAGGATGAAACGCACAGCCAGGGAGGTGCCAGAAACTGAACCCGTGCACATTGCTGACACTCTGCCACCGAGCCATGCCACTGAGCCATACCAGCCAGGGCTGATTCACATTTCGAAAGGCTCTTGTGTGTAGAACAGACTACCGGAAGAGCAGCTAGAAGCCGGACAAGAGGAGATGAGTGAAAGCAGTGAGGACCTGCTGGATTCTGGATCTGCCTTGAAGGGAAAGCCTATAGGATTTGCTTGTGCGCCGGATGCTGGGTATGAGAAGAAGAGGAGTCAAGGGTGATTTCAAAGTATCTGGCTTCGGCAGTGGAGGGAGAAGTCCGAGCACAGGAAGCATTTCACACCGCGGGGCTGGAGACGCGAGGCGGGAGCCCCGAGTTGTCCAGTGTTTCGAGGCCACTGGACAGAGCACCCTGCTGAGGGAGGCCGAGAGAGAGCAGCTGGCCAGGTGGGAGGAGCAGTGCTGGCATAGGCCCAGGAGAAAGCGATGCCAGCAGGGAGTGTGCCCCTGGAATGCCACGGAGGGGCCACACGAGAAAACAGACCCTTGGATTTGGCAGCCCAGGCCATCGGTGACCTTGGTGAGAGGACTTTGAGAAAACAGCCTGAGGGAGTGTGTGTGTGTGTGTGTGTGGGGGGGTGTGCGAAGGAGGGAGTGTGGAGAAAGGGAGAGCGAACAAGCTCTAAGGGGAGCAGACATGGTGTGACAGACTGAAGGGTGTCAAGAATCGGGGATCGTGCCGCGCCAGCCCAGCCAAGGGTTCGGTGAGCCTGAGCGCGGCGACGAAGGATGGAGAAATGATAGACAAAGAGAAAGAGCTGGGTCTAAGTGGATCTTCTGTGCCTGGCTGAGGCCACAGAACAAATCCAGACTGCAAGCTGACAGTTTATTTTTAAAATATATTTTATTGATTTTTTACAGAGAGGAAGGGAGAGGGATAGAGAGCTAGAAACATCGATGAGAAACATCGACCAGCTGCCTCCTGCACACCCCCTACTGGGGATTTGTCCGCAACCAAGGTACATGCCCTTGGCCGGAATCGAACCTGGGACCTTTCAGTCCATAGGCGGACGCTCTACCACTGAGCCAAACCGGGACAAACAAGGTATTTACAATGTTCTTCTAAGTTTCATTTGTTTTGGCAGCACTCGCTGCCCCTCCCACAGGCCACTAGCTACCCAGGAATGATCTAGGGAGCAGTGACAAGATGACAAGATCAAGCTTAATTATGCTTAGAGGACAGTGTCCTCCAAGCTGGGATTTGTGTGCGACTTTGCCAGCAGGTCAGTCTGAGGCTTAGCCCTATAACCGCTTCCTACAAGGAATATGGCCCCGGCTAGTGTGGCTCAGTTGGAGCATACACCAAGAAGGTTTTGAGTTTAGTTCCCGGTCAGGGTATATACCCATATTGTGGGTTCGATCCCTAGTCAGGGTGCATACTGGAGGCAACTGATCAATGTTTCTCTCTTTTCCTCTCCCTTCCCCTCTCTCTAAAATCAATGAAAACAAGCCCTAGCCAGGTAGCTCAGTTGGTTAGAACATCGTCCCAATATGCAGAGGGTTTGGGTTTCAACAGGCACATACAAGAAGCAACCTAATGGATGCATAAAGAAGTGGAACAACAAACCCATGTTTCTCTCCAGGCTGAGTTTCCTAGAATCAATAAATAAAAATAAAATAAAATCAATAAAAACATATCCTCAGGTATGCCGGGACCGGTTTGGCTCAATGGATAGAGCGTCGGCTTGGGAACTGAAGGGCCCCGGGTTCGATTCCGGTCAAGGGCATGTACCTTGGTTGCGGGCATATCCCCAGTAGGGGGTGTGCAAGAGGCAACTGATCAATGACTCTCTCTCATTGATGTTTCGAACTCTCTATCTCTCTCCCTTCCACTCTGTACAAAAATCAATAAAATATATTTAAAAAAAAAAAAAAAAAAAAACATATCCTCAGGTAAAGACTAAAAAAGAAGAATCAGGGAAGTGGTTGCTGCCGTGTAAGGCTGTGACCGGAGAGAGCTGTCACCAGAGCCCAGCCTGCTGGCATCCTGATCTCACACTTCCAGCCTTCAGAACTGTGAGAAATAAATACTTGTTTTTATAGGAAAAAATAAGAAAAAATCACGTGTTTGTGAAAGAGCCACAGAGACTGGGAAGGGCTGGTGCACAAGGGAAGCCTGGAGGAAGGAGGGGCCGTGGGTGGAGCAGGTGGAGGCGGAGGCCCTGGAGTAGGTGCAGGTAGGCTGCAGTTCATGCCTCCTCCTTCCTCTCATCTCCCCTTCCCCCTCTTCTCCGTTCTGCACTGGAACCTGAGAGGGTGAGGAGCTGGGACCCCAGGGCCTGCTCTACACCCCTCTGGCTTGGGCCTCCCACAGGGCTCCCAGGTCCCCACTGCCTCTGCCCTGCCCATGCCCTCCACTGCCCGCTCCCAGGACGGCCTTGGTGGGCCCGATCACGCTGCCCGAGGAACACCCACGTTCTCTTGTCACCTCAGACACATCTGAGGCGTTCCTGTCACCGATGGTTGTGTACACCTTGTTTGACAATAATGTGCGGGTTGCATTCTGGGACACTTTCGAAGATCTCACTTGATTGTGCCCCTGGGGAGGCAGGACTAGTTGCATTTTCTAGGCTGAGTGCGCACAGGGCCAAGGCCGTCTGGTCATCCGGCCACAGGAGCTTGGGGAGCCAGTGACACCTGCCCCCTGGCCGTCCACCCCTGTGGCTGTCCGGCAGGTGGATGCTAGGCCCCCATGTGCACACTTGTTCACAGAGACGGCTTGGGAGCAGGGCTGGGCTGTGCCATGGCCAAGGTTAAGGGCGGCAGGAGGGCCTCAGTGATGCCCTCCTCTCCTCCTGCAGAGGCAGAGCCCTTTGACCTCAGACTTCACCAACTTCCAGAAACAAGGAGTTAACCTAGTAGGGGAAGAAGCCAAGTTCTAATCTTCGATCAGAAGAGAACCCGCAACATGTCCCTGTCTCGGGGGGTGGGTTTGGGGTGCTGAATTGCAGGGAAAAGGGGACTTCGGTGGGAATGACGCTGTTTCTGACCTCTGCTGCCCCCTACTGGCAAGACATCTTCCTGCCGGTCTTACAATGAGGAACATGGGATTTGCTTCTTTCCCAAGTCAGTTCCTGGTGGATTTTGAGCAAAGCTGGCTGCACTGTGCAGAGGGGTGGGGGTTGGACAGACTCTATGTCACAGGGAGAGGGGAAGAAGCCCGAGACTTGCTAGTTGGTAAGAAATCAATTTATTGAATGAAAAAGCCAGCATCCACTCAGCCCTCCCGCCACACCCGCTAAGGGCAGGACGGCGGCCCAGCCCAGGAGATGCTGAGCGGCGAGGGCGGGAGGAGTCTGGGAGGAACGGAGAATGAGAAAGACAGGCTTCAAAATGAAGTGATGTGCAAACTTCTGGAAGGGGTGAGGACAACAGTGGAGTTCTGGAGGTGCTGGTGGGGGACAGAGGGACTCAGTGTGCCTCAGCCTCTTTGGAGAGGGCTGATGGTCGAGGCTGAGGGGCTCAGTCCCTGAGTCCCTGGTGAGGGAAGGAATGGAGCCTGCTGAAGGGACCCCGGGCTGGGAGGCTGGGGTCTCAGCCCAAACCAGGGACACAGGAGTGAGGCAGGGAAGTACAGACCAGGGAAAGGGAGACAAATGGACCTGGTGGGAACAGGGGGGTGAAGGGGCGGGGGGCCACAGACAGTACACTGGGGGGGGGGGGTCCTGTCTCCCAGCTCTGCAGAGTTCGGCGTTTCAGGAAGAGGCAGAGCTGTGCTGGGTGAAGGGGTGGGAAGCAGAGGGAGAGTCAACAACAAGGGAGCCACGGGGCAGGGGCCAGTGCCAGGTGCATCACAGGCACCACTGAGACCGGCCGTGCAGAGAACAAGGAAATGCTCAGGACGCAGGCACATCTGCAGGGGACTCGGGGGGAGAGGCAATGTGTGTGGGGAGACCAGGAAGGCCTCTCCGTGGCAGGAATACACAGCATCGCCACAGAAATGCTGTCCTGGGGGTGAGGGAGCAGTGGGAGCTGCCCCTGACGGGAGGGGAGGGATCCCGGCGGCTCAGGCTGAGCAGCAATGACAGCTGGGCTGTAGAACACAGCAGGGCTGGACTCCCTGCTCAGGATTCCAGGCCTCCTATTTCCAGGAAGGGGACCAGTGCCACTGGGGAAAAGAGGCGAAGGCAGGACTCAATTCCAGGGACTGGCACCAGAAAGCAAAATCAACATGCCTCGGACCAGCGGGAGGGCAGGATGGAGAGGGGAGGGAGGGCCTGCCCAGGAGGAGCCTGAGCAGGGGGATGGGGCAGCATCCCCGGTGGTAGTGTCCTTCAGGACTCGGCAAGGGAGATGCAGGCCTCCGGGCCAGGAGGGGGTGCTGGACCTGGGCCTGCTGGCCCCCTGCCTGCAGGCAGTGAGGCGGTGGCAGTGCCAGGAGGGAGTGGCCAGGACACAGTGCCCTCAGGTGGTCTTGCTGCCACTGAACAGTCCCACTGGAAAGTGCTTGACATGAGTGGGCCACTGCGCCGCCAGCTGGAAGAACTTGATGTCGCTCCACTCGACTCCGTCAATGGACACTGGGGGGGACAGAGGAGGGGAGGTGTGACCAGGACCGCTAGGGCCATCTTCCCAGGGCCCCTGGAGGGGGCACCTCCCTGCCCCACAGTGCCCTGTCCCGTCCCGGCAGCACCCACCTCGCAGCATGGTCTGCTGCTGCTTGGCAGAGCAAATGAGGCGGCTGATGCCTTCAATGACCTGGCTCTTGGAGTCTACCTCCTTTTCTCGAGGCTTCTTGCTCAGGAAGATGGTGGGAACTGGAAAGCAAGCAGGGACCCAATTGTCACAGCCCCTGGTAAAGCAGCAAATCCTCTCCTCCCCCACTACTTCCCCTTCTTCCTGAGGCAAGGGGAAGTGGCGTGCAGAAAGCCAATCCTTGTCTCAGGCTCAGGGATCTTGGAGTTCCTGCCCGATCCAGCACGGCCCCTCCCACACCCAGGCCTTAGCATGTCCTGTGGAATGAGGAACTGGGCCAGATGCCTCTGAAGTCCCTTCCAGCTCCACGTCCCAGGCGGCCTGGGGGAGCGCACAGGCCGTGCAGGCCTGTATCAGCCCTGCCTGGGATAGGCCTGGTTCCACTCCTGCGTGGGGAGAGGCAAGAACCGGAGGGCACTGCTGGGCTGACAGCGCCCCCCCAAGGCCAGTCGTGGGGGTACAGATGCAGGTTTGGCACAGCCCCCACCACCCCTCAGGGGTCTCTGTGGATGAGGTATGAGCAGGCCCAGCTGCTTTGGGTGCTGGAGGGAGGGCCCAGCAGAGGAAGGAAGCCTCTGTGCTGACAGCGGGGAGTGGGGTGCCAGGAGGGCAGTCACCTGGGCACACAGCGCAGGCACACAGCCAGACCTGTGGGTTTACAACCAAGACGGACAGCACAGCAGCCAGTGCTGGCCTGTGGGGTGGATTCCTGCCTCAGTCTCCCGGAGTGCAGTGCCCAGGGCCACGCCACCTCTTCCTCTGGTGCCTTAAGCCTCCCCTCCTTTCTGGAATGGGCTGTATTCTCCCTAAGTATCCCCTCCCCCCCAACCAGGACATGTTTTTATTGATTTTAGAGAGATTGGGGGGGGGAGGAGAGAGAGAGAGAGAGAGAGAGAAGGAGAGAGAGAGAGAGAGAGAGAGAGAGAAACATCAATGTGAGAGAGAACCCAGGGACTGAACCCGCAGTCCTTTGCTATATGGGATGATGTTCCAACCAACGGCTCCCCCTTACTTTAAGGCTTGAGTGGCCTCGGGGGGTGAATGTGCTGTGCTGAGGGGCCACGTGATCTCGGGGCCGTGGCATGGAGGCGTCCTGTCACCCACGGCCCCTGAGGGCAGCACTCACTGCCTTGGCCCCGGACTGTGGAGCTCAGTGGCAGGGACCAAGGACGCCCTGGGGACCATGCCTTTGTTGGAGAGGAATGGGCTTGTCTCCAAGGTGAGGCAGGATCCCGGGGACCACGTGATACTTGCACTGCTTCTCCTTCATCCAAGGTCTCTCCAAATCAGATTCTGGCCCAGGCCCTGAGAGAGGAGACGGGTCTGGTGGCCCTGACCGTCCCTGGCCTCAGATGTCACTTGCCTTTCTTGTTCTTCTCTTTGGTGACCACGGTCATGGCCATGGTGCCGGAGAGCTGGGCCTCCCCGCCATGGGGCAGGCGGGAAACCTGCACTGAGCGGAAGACACTCTTGAGGGTGTTCTTGGAGCTGGCATCTCTCTTGTCACCTTCCCTCCTCCGCTCCCCAGGGTGGCCGAGCCAGTAGTCCACCTGGAGGCCAATCACGTCCCCGTACGGACTGCTGGGGCTCCTGAAGAAGGGAACAGCAATGAGAGTAGCTTCTGCCCTCAGTTCCCAGCTACATGGCCGAGGGATGGGGGTGGGGGGTGGAGGGTGGGGACTGCCCGGCTGTGGGGCTCCAGGGTCTCTCTAGTCTCACAGAAGTGGCTCATGAGGGAGTGAAAAAGCCAGGAGAGGGCGAAGACTGGGAACACTGGGAGGGAAGCAATGAGGGATGAGGGAAACAGAAGATGCTTTATGAAGAAAAAAGGTGTGTGCATACACACGTGTGCACAGGCACCCATACACCTGCACATGCACACACACCAAGCAAAACCGGCCAGAGGTGGGAGGTTACGTGGGGCAGAGGGGCAGCACGGCGGTAGCAGCCTGGGAAGCGGATGGAGGCTGACCTGCAGACTCTTGCTCCTGGCATCTAGCGCAGGATAATTTTAGCTCCAAGGAGAAAAAGAGCTGATGTTTTCTTGAAAGGAGGCGTCAGACACAATAGGAACATAGGCTACAAGTCATCTGACATCTCTTTCCGCCGGCTTTCAGCGGTGCTCGGAGTATAAACTTAAGCTGGCAGGGAAAGGGGGTCGGGGGGAGGGAGGACCGATCCCAGGCCCCCCAGAAGACCTGGAACCCGGGCCCCTGGGACCACATGTGGGATTTCCTCCTTTTCCTGCTCTGCCCTTAACGAAGGGCCATGAAAAGGGGGAGCGGGTGGGAGAACAGCGTCAGGCAGCTTTCTCGCCACCTAAGAGCACTTCAGACTCCCAGGAGCCAGTCACTGGCGGTTCTGGAAAAGCCACTGACCAGGCCTACCCTCCCTGTTGCTACAAGGACCATCGTCAGAGGGAAGAGAAAGAGGCAGATGCTGAAGGAAGGGGAACGGAGGGAGGAGCAGCAGGAGCACCTTCCTGCTCCTGACCCAGGCCAGCTCCTCCCCCACCGCGAGCCTGTCCCCTTGCTCCCCCTAACCGGGCGCCTGCTCCTCTGCCTGAGGCTCAGCGGCACGGCTGCCTACAGAGGCTCCTTGACCACGGGCTCTAACCTTTGGATCCTCAAGAAATTCCTTCTCCTTCCTATCCCCCCTCCTTCGCCCCCAACACACTTCCCACAGCACCCCCTGCAACACATGCAGTTCGAATCTCCGTGTTGCTTTGACCTTGCAGTGGCCCAGGAGCCTGAGCTCCAGGGCAGGGACCTCCTGCCTCAGTCATGGCCATGGCGACAGCTCCATCGCGCTGAGGGACAGACTGTAAACATGGAAGGAAGCAGCACCTGCCCTGTGCCAGGCACACACGCCTCACGCACTGAGACCTGACTACCCCACTTCTCTCACAAGTCGGAAACGAAGCTTCGCAATTTGTCCAAGGCACAAGATTCTTTGCTTCACCCAACTTCAGCCAGGCTCCCAAATCTTCTCTAGATCCACCTGTGCACGTCCTTATAAAATCCAGTTTTAGCAAAAACCTTGCTAAGTCCTCCACCATCCATATCTGATTAGGTTCTGCACCCGCTCCCAACCCCTCCCCCCTCCCCCCCAGGAGATGTCAGATGCCTTGACTGTCTTTATCAAGAGTCCTATGAGGTCAGTTTAGCCAGAATCTGCCAGCCCATGCTTCCTCTCAGTAATTTTCTGCCCACAGACCCCGCACCCTCCTTGGCTACGATCCTCACTTGTGTATGCTGTATTGAGATGAGCCCCATCTCTCTCCCCGTCACAGTGACTCCTTTACCTATCAAGACAGTCCCACTTTGAATAAAGTCTCCCTGCTGCGCTGTCAGCGTCTCTGACTGTAACACAGAACCGCAGCTCAAGCCCAGGAGATCCGACCTTCACGCTCAGCCTTCCTGCCACGCTGGGCAGAATCAAGACAAGACCTGTGCGCAGCGCTTTACAGATTCAAAGGGCCCCCCAGTCAGCCCTGCAACTGCGAGACAGACAGACAGACAGACAGCTGTGCGACGAGTTGTCCAGCCAGTGACCTAGGTCTCTGAATTCTAATGACAGTGTTCTCACCACCATACTACCCTCTGCCCTCAGTGTGCTGCCACAGGCCATGATGCCGCAGGAGGAGGGAAGCCGTGGGACCGGAGGGAGGGACACAGCAGGAAAGACAGGTACCGGGAGAGCCTTACCCCACCACAGCGAGGGCACTGCTCATGGACGGGGAGGACGGAGGGGTGGCCGTGGCATCTCGGCTCAGGCCTGAGCTGGAGGGCGGGGATGTGGAGGGCACCGTGAGGCTGACCATGGGGGCGTCGTCGCCATCGCCTGTCGGAGACACACAGTTGGCCAGAGGAAGCCCTCTGCCTCAGTGGCAGCCTGCTCTCCTTTGGGCCTCCACCCCCTGCCACCGCTTCCCGGGGGAGTGCGGGCACCACCCACAGCCTTCCCCTCTGGCCTGCTGGCCTCACTCCATGGAAGCAAAGGGTCCCAGCTCACCTGTGGCAGGAGAGTCTTCCACCAGCCCCACCTTCACCACCTGGGAGAAAAGGAGACACCGGAGCTGCACCCACTGGAAGCAGGTGGTTGAGAACAACAGCCATCACTACACATTGTTTGATGTGGGCTTTTAGAATCTTTACAAATGCAGAGCTTTAAGAGACGTGAAAATACCAGTTCCAAAAAACGAACTGGGGCCCCAGGAGTCCTCATGGCTCTTCACTAGGGACAAGGGCCGCGGGAACCATGACCATGTCCTGACCTCCGTTCGCCTAAGAAAGACCAGGAGTAGGAGGCCATCTTCTCATCAAAGAGAGAAATGAAGAGCCCCTGAGGAAGCGGGGGACAGTGTGGCAGGGAGGAGCTCTCTGCGCCTGCCTGTTGCAGCAAGCCAAGGGAAGACACAGCCAGGCCGACACCTGCTCCCTCCTCCCCAGACTTCCTGGAATCTGGAGGAACACTACTGAGGAAGGGTCCCAGCTTCAACCCCCTGGAGGCAGTAGGGTCCACTCCAGCTTCCCAAATAATTTTAGATGGTGCATAGTGAATTCTGGGAAGGTTAGAGGGAGCCCTCCAGTGGCCAGAAAAGGGCACAGCGAGAGACAGACCATTCGTCACAACTGTGTTATCAAGGGACACAAGTCCTGAGTCCTGGCAGGTAGGGGGCCTAACACCCGGCAGAGGCTCAGCAGAGCTGGGAGGCCACAGAAGGTGGACCCTGAGGACTGGCGTGAAGTGGAGATCATGCCCAGATGGTTCCCTTGAGGCTGGCTGCTTAGAACACAACGGCTGCTATTCTTAGAATTTTCTATGCATTTAGACACCAGCAAGTAACACATCGATACTCAGAGCTTCCTGGATATGATTCCTTTTGCTTCCCTGGCATTGAAAGATGCTGTCACCTCCTTTGTATGAATTTTAGATTTTTTTTTCTCTCTCTCTTGGCTGTGAGGTCAGAGTGGGCAGCGATCCACAGCTCCATGATGATGTGAGTCAGACCACCACCCAGGCTACAGGCCACGGTCTGGGGCCTCCAACACGACCATCGGAGCAGCTCCAGTGGCAAATGGGGACTGATTGGACGAGCCAGGCAGGAGGCTGTGTAAGGTATGAGAAAGGGCCAGTGAATATGCCCAGGCTCTGGCATCTCCCAAGACTGCTCAAGACATTGAGAATGTGGGCCGAGCAGAGAAGAGGGACAGTGGGAGCTGCCCTCATCTGCCCCTTCGCCCAGAAGCTAGGAGAGTCCTCAAGGAGACTATGCAGAAAGATCCAAGCTGACCGGAAGGGAAATGTGAACATCCTGTACATGGAAACCTGAGTTTCAGCCACGCTTCTGTGGGGTGGCCTGGCCCCGCAGGTCAGCTGTCCCCTCAGGAGTCCCTCTCTTGGTAAGTCTCTGCCTTGCGGCCCAGCCACACCAAATGAACCAAAGATCAGAACGACTGACACCAAAGAAGTCCACGAGGTGTTCCGAGTGTTTTCAAAACCCACTAGTATATTCTCCCTTGACTACACAGGGCGGGGGGGGGGGGGGGGGGGACACACGACGACGACGACACCAGAAGAGACCCTTGTTCTCAGAGGCCTCTCTGACCCGGAAGATGGAAACAACCAATTTCTCAGACTGCTCTTCAGAATATCCTCTCTCATTGCTTGCTGTGGGGCTGTCCTGTGCATTGTGGGTGTTAGCAGCATCTGATGGAAACAACCAATTTCTCAGACTGCTCTTCAGAATATCCTCTCTCATTGCTTGCTGTGGGGCTGTCCTGTGCATTGTGGGTGTTAGCAGCATCTTGGTCTCTACCCACTAAACGCCAGCTCTGAGGACCAAAAATGTCTCAGGCATTGCCAGCTGTCTGGGGAGAATCGCCCCCGGATGAGAACCGCTGTCTGGATGAGTCTTCTGTGTGCGTGCATGTGTGCGTGTGTGCGTGTGTGTGTGTGTGCGCGCGCGTGTGGGGAGGACAGGCAGGCGGGGGGATGGGTGGGGCAGAGAGGAGAGGCAGTCAGTACTCACGCCAATGAAGGGGATAAACTTCTGATACGAGTCTTCATCAGGGCTGTTGGGAGAGACAAGAGAGCCCACAGTCAGTGGGTGAGGCCGCGGGGAGAGCTCTCCCTGTTTCATGGCCGCTCTCAGGATCCAGACACTACTCCGTGACATCTTCCCCTCAGGCTCCGGGATGGCCCGATTCTGCACACAACCCCCCGCTCCCACTTCCGAGCGTCAGTCCCTGAGATGGTGCGGAGGCCCAGGGCAAGGGAGGACGGGCCTGAATGGGTGACAGCAAAAACACCGCCTCTCTCCAGCTCACATTTTCTTGGGTTTCTACACCAGGAAATGGTAGGAAGAAAAATATGAAAAAGCAAGGAAGATTCAAGATTGACCTAACCCATCCCCCCTATAAGAAATGCCCCAAAAGGAAACTTACAACTTATGCCTGCAGGTCAGCATGGCTTCCGCCACAGGAAGCTGGTGAGTCACACCTGCGCCGTTGATGTACTGCATCACCCGCCCCACTACGTCCAGTTGCTCTGCAGAAAAGCCAGGAGATAACGGACAGACTTTAGCAGGCAGACCCGACACCCCGCTTAGAGAGCCCCCTTTCTGACACCCATGGGAAGACCTGGGAGTAGAGGCAGAAAAAGAGTTCCAAAGACCTGGTGGTTTTTAAAAAATTATTATTATTTATAAATATTAAAGGCTAATATGCAAAGTGTCCCCTTGCGAGTTTGGCCGGGAAATGGTGAGTTCAATCGCTCACTATGACATGTGCTGACCACCAGGGGGTGGCACAGAATGAAGGAAGGCTCCGATCAGCTCTGATTGCTGGCCAGGCCTAGGGACCCTATCCGTTACATAAATTTTAACTAGAAGATTCGTGCAAGAATAGACCTTCCTTTCCTTGTTTGCTGGCTGCACCTGTGTGCATATGCAAATTAACCCACTACCTTTGTTGGGTTAATTTGCATACTCACTCCCAATTAACTGGTGGTCCTCACGAAGGTACGGTCAATTTGCATCTTTCTCTTATTAGTATAGATTATTTCAGAGAGGGAGAGAGAGGTAGAAACATCAATGATGAGAGAATCATTGATTGGCTGCCTTCTGCATGGTCCCTCCTTGGGATTGAGCCTGCAACCCAGACATGTGCCCTTGACCAGAATCAAACCCGGGACGCTTCAGTCCACAAGCTAATACTCTATCTGCTGAGCTAAACTGGCCAGGGCTAATGGTTTTGACTCTAATGCACAATAGACCAAAGCACTGCTCTCTCTCCCTTCCAACCTCTTTCCCAGGCTAACCATGCTCCCGCCTTTGTCTTTGCTCATACCAACCTCAAAACCCAAAGGATCCCCTCTTTCCTACTAACTGTGCCCATCACTTCCCTCAAGGTCTGAGGAAGAATTTGCCCCCTCAGCCTCCCCGAGCTCCAGCTCGCCCCAACCCCGGCCACCTTACTCTGTGTTTCAGGATGACATGTCTGGTGCTATTCATGTACCAACAGACAGCTCAGGAGCTATTTTCTGCTTATATCTCATCTGTACAACTAGCATGCTCCCCCCCGCCCCCCGCCCCCCATAGCCCTCCTTATTTTTAGATGCACAGGAGCAGAACAAATGGCAGAGACTAAAATCACCCAGGGTGGAAGGGCTGCACTTAACGGGCCTCCTCTTACTGTAACGGAAAAGACAAACCGGAAGCGAGTGGGAGAGTTAGAGCCATGCTCTCTGGCCTCCGTCAGCTGCGACCGGCCCTCTCTGAGCCAGGCGGCATTCCACCGCAGTTCCTTACAGGGGGTCCTTACCTGACACCGGGGGCTCCGAGCGACTGAACAGGTCTCTCCAGCCAGAATCAAGGAAGGTGCTGCTATATCTACTGTCCACTGAGCCCAAGTACTTGGCCACAGGGTGAGAACCTGGTAGGTGGAGAGAAGGTGAGCTTGTTAGGGGACAGGATGTTGGCATGGCCTTGGTCCCTCCTGATTGCCCCTCCCTTGACCCAACCCACCACCCGCTTCATGAGTGGGATCTGGCCTCTTTACCGAGGGGGATGATGAGAAAGCGCATGTAGCCAAGCCAGTCGGAGGTCTTGTTGGCCAGTGACTTGACGAAGAAGCGGAGGATGGAGCTCAGGTAGGTCTGGCTGCCCAGCGCGGCCACCTTCACCGGCCGCGGCATGGAGGAGTTGCAGTTGCAGCTGGGGAGCAGAGGAAGGTCACCACCACTTTCTGGAGGTTCACAGCAGCCTACTCAGAGGGAGGCTCTGAGCTCAGACTTGTCTGATCTCAACAACCCACAGGGGAGAAACCAACAAACAAAATAGTACAGAGAGAGGCAATAAACCAGCGCTGTTGAAATTAGGGAGATATCCAGGATCAGAGAGGACGGGCCACTGTCTAGAACAGTGGTTCTCAACCTTCCTAAGGCCGCGACCTTTAATACAGCTCCTCATGCTGTGGTGACCACCAACCACAAAATTATTTTCGTTGCTACTTCATAACTAACTTTGCTACTGTTATGAATTATAATGTAGGTATCTGTGTTTTCCAATGGTCTTAGGCTCTACAGCAGCAGTTCTCAACCTATGGGTCGGTCTGATCAGGCCAGGAGGTGCCGTCACCACGTGGAAGTGGGGGTGGGAGGATGTCAGAGGAACCCCAAAAGGCAGGGGAGGAGCCACGCCCTTACTAGCGCTGGATGCGGGTGAGCAGGGCAGACAGCACGGCCTGGACCTCCACGGTGGAGCAGGTGCACACGACAGGCTTCCGCTGGTCCTGGAGCAGCTCCGCCACATACTGGGGTGGAAGGGAGGGCAGAGGTACTGGTAAGGCCACAGGGCAGAGACTCTGCTTCCCCACAGGCGCCAGCTGCAGGGTCCTGTCCTCTGTCCTTCAGACCACCGAGGAAGAGGGACTTGGGCATTGGGGTCTAACTGGGTGGGCAGTGGTGAGTGGGAGCAGGCAGGGTTGGGGTTGTCGCTTAGCTCCTTCTGAACCACATTCACGGACTATGGCTGACCATGGATTTTACAACACGTGGCACTCAAGGCACCTTCCTCCGAGATACTCCCTGACACACAGCCCCCCTGGAAGAAGGTAGGACAGTGATATCGTTGCCTTTTTACAGATGAGGAAGCTGAGGTACCGAAAGTTAGTAGTTAAGGTCCCGTAAGCTGGAAAAGGACAGAAATGGGATTAGAACCCAGAGCCTGGGCTTGGTTCGGGGTAGGAGGGACCTGAGGTATGGGGGTTATTTTTCTATTCTTCCAAGCCCTGCCTCTCAAATACACCCCTGGGCGCCTCTTGCTCTCCAGAACCTTCCCTCCCAGGCCTGTGGTCTGCAGTGCTGTACCTGGCCCTGCCAATCAGTGGTGTTCACAAGGATGACGTTTTCTGGGAGGGCTGCGTCTGACACCAGGATCTGGTTCAGCTGGTCGTACACCACCTTTCTTGGAATCTGCAGGGACAGTGTCTGTGAGGCAGGCCCAGGGAGCCTGAGAGTGGAGCTGGGTGGGCTGTGAGAGTTCGCGAAGCAGGGTATTTGGAGACACTAGGACTTTATGGAGGACACAGCGTCACACTGACCAGACCAAAACGGAAAGGAGGACAAGAACAAGCAGAGTCCTCAGAGAACACTCATCCACAGGCACAGGCCACAGCAGCCTCCTGACTGGGAGGGCAGAAGGCGCAGCAGGCATCGCATAACGGGAGTGGGACAGGCAGAGTGGGACAGGCGGTGGAAGGACCGGAGAGGAGGGAGCGGAATGAGGCCCCGGGGAGAGAATTAATGAGTGGCAGAGTACTGCGAGGGGAGCCTGCTGCCACAGGAGCGAGGCGTCTCAGGACCAGTGATTAACCAGACGGACAACACGGCGCCCCAGGCGCAGGGCTATTCTAGTCTCTGGTTCGCTGCCAGCTAGGCAAAACGTCAATGCAGGAAGCCTCACTGACATGACTTTCGGTATTTATCAGGTAAGTAAGCAGGCTCGAGTTCAGGCTGGTGATGTCCAGTGAGATTCTGATGGCCGCCATCTCCTAGAACCTGAGGCACCGCACAAACTAACGTCTGTCGGAGGCAGAGGAGGCCAAGCCAACCAGGAGGGGTGGGATGCCACCTGGGGCTGAAGGCAGCTGGGTCAACGCTGGCATTTCTTGCCCCATCCCCTGCTCCCTGCAAACAGCCTGGAGGCCAATTCCACACTAGTAGTAATAACAAGCGTGCTAGACTTCTCTATTTAGGCCTGTTTTCAAGAATTTTATTTAGAACATTTCAAAGTAGTCCTCCTTTCCTCTCAGCTAACTGCCCAGGAAGACGACCACACAGAAGCCATGATCTGGGTGCCGGTACCTGCGTGCTGTGGCCCAGGTCCGGGGAGCGCTCGCTGTCGGAGCTGTTGGTCCTCTCGCTCAGGGGCTTGGAGAGCTGCCGCTCCCTCAGGGGTGTGCTCCTCTTCTGCCGGGGCGTGTGCCCCCCTTCCACTTTGCTGCCAGACACGTGACAAGGAGGAGGTGAGACAGCCCAGCTGACCCCACGCCATGGCCAGCCCCCTCTTCCCTCATGCCATCTGTTTGGCCTCCTTTACCCTGCCCCCCAGCCCCTGCTGTCAGTGTTTCTCCCTCCTGGGTACCTGGGCGAGGCGGAGCCTTGGAGATCTGTTTTGCTGGACTTCATGGGAGTTTTGACTTTTTCTGGCACAATCAGACTTGTACTCCCGTCTCCGAACGTGTCCTGGTCAGTGATCTCCTGCCATGGAGGGAAGGAAGCAGCGAGGCTACGGCTCACTAGGAGCCTCTGGGGGTCCTGCCAGGGCCCGTCCCCACCATGAGGAGAGTCGGTCACTCCCTGTTTTTCTGAAGCCCCCTCTCACTGCGGAAAACACTGGCTGCAGGGCTGTGCTATTCAGTCTGTCCCCTATCGTTACAAACTATTTGTCAACACACAAATCTGAACTGAGGTTCTAGCTTCTCTAGGTGGGAAGGAGACAGTTTTAATTAGGATGTAACTTTATTACATTTCACTTTTAAAAGACCACTGTGCAGTAAGGGCCAAAGTGGACAAGAGTGAAATCCGGGTTATTCAGATTACTGGTGAATACAAAGCCCCTGTTGTATAGTAAGTTTTAAATTAATCTTGAGTCAAGCCTAATGTTTCACACACCAGGTCTTGAATGCAGTTTTATTTACAAAAGAAAGCACAGCCTAAAACAATTCTTTCCTGGCCTCAACTAAGCTCCCAGGTCTCACTGTGAGGCTGACGCACAGCACTCCCCCAGGTGGGATCTGGTAAAGCTCTCTGCTCCCTCCCCCCAGGTCCGGCCTCCAGCTCCCTCAAGGCCCATCTCAGATGTCTTCCCCACGCGGAGTCACTCTGTCCTTCAGCCTCTGCATGGGGCGGGCACGGGCTGGCTTTCCTCCACAGGGTTGCATCTTGAAGGCAGAGGTGTGTTCTCATATTTGCATCTTCAGTGCTGAGCACAGATGCCCAGTATATGTGTGTGGAATTCAATGTTTAAATAAATCGTGTACCCCAGTCAGTTCATTCCATTTCATTAGAGCTTGGTCTGCTCTCCTGTGCAGCCTAGCATCTCTCAGAGCAAGGAGTTGACCAGAATTCCTTGGAGATTTAATACTGTGGCTGCCTGGCCATACATAGTAAGAGCAACATGGGAGGAAGAGATTTTTTTTTTTAAGGCGAAGATACTGGTCACCTCTCAGAAATAAATGAGGGTGACAGATAGTGAGGAATTATCTAACTCAGCATTTGCTCAGCTGTCATTGGTGAAGTAACCTGGTCTCCTGGTTATACTCCATGCGTAAGGATTTCAGGAGGAAGAGAACACAGGATATTCACAAGGCCACGGATGTAGGTAAAATTCCCGTGGTGTTCCTGAGGGTCTTTTTGTCTTTGTTTCTAAAGATACAAAAACTACTTCAAACAGCTGAGACGGGCGGCTGAGCCACACATACCAGGGTGTCCGTTTCAGCCAAGCTGTCATCTGGATTTTTAATCCACGCAGATTTGACTTTTTCTAGAGCAGCCAATTCCATCTGTAAAAATTATAACAGTTAGTCATCACCGATCAAAATGATCGCCACCAACTTGTTTTCTAGGTACCTTAGAAACTTAAAGATTTCATGATCTAATGCAACCTTTGGGATTTTCATCTTATAACCATCTTATAAAGAGGTTATTTTGGTGAAAACTAAGCCAGAGGTCAGTCATGTTTATAATCACTAAATCAACAACACAGTGAGACCTGGAGCCCAACGTTTCTGACTCTGACCGATGTCGTTAGGGAAGAGCACTCAGAGTTTAGAGGGCTTTACTATGGGGCCCACAAAGGCTGGCTCTGGACCCAGTAAAGCCCCTCACCCAGGAGGAACATATGGGACCCCTTCTGCTTGTCAGAAATGCTGAGAAGAAAGGAGGATCTTATAGTTCAGGTCTTTGATTTTGAGACTGAAGACATCCCTAATAGCCAAATGCTTTTTGCTTGGTATGAAATATCTAGAAAACCCTCAAACAGATTATACCAAACAAAGACAACCAATGGTAAGCCTTTTAGGTGTGAACTAATTATCCCTAATTATCCACTAGGAGCAAACTCAACTCAAGTTTCCATTCCTGCTCCTGTGGACACTAAGGGCTTCTCTCTCTGCAGGAGCCTGGGACTGGCAGTGCAGTAGCCGTATCTGTCTGCTTGCGTGGCACTGGCGGCAGATGTAGTACTCGGAAGCACTGTGCCGTGGGGCGATCTGGCTGCTGCGGAGGGTGCCAGGCTCCGGTGTGTGGGTGGGAGGGGTGTGGGGGATGTTTTCGGCTATCACTGTGATGAAGTACTAGTCTCTGCCACCGCTATGTTCAGTGCATGGAAGCAGCAGTCTTCACCAGCAGGCAGTCCTGACTGGAGGGCCGCCTCTCCTGACTGCCCCAGCGGCAGCACTGGCAGGGCCTATTGTTACCAGCTTACACAGCAAATAAGGTCTCTGCTGTGTGCACAAGTCTTGGGAAAACTCAAGAACTGTAATAATTTGTATTAGCAGAAATTCCTTCTGCTTCTAGTGATAAACAAAATCCTCTAAAATTTGGGGAACAAAAGGAAAGATTAAGAAAAATAAGTAAACAGCAATGATAGGGTATCAGGGAGCAAGGACAAAAGGGGCAGCACGCACAGGCCTGCCCATGGAGCACAAGCTCAGTATCTTTTCCTAATACATTTCCAAGCTCTCCTCATAAGAGCACAGCCTTGATCTGTCCTTCCTTCCCAAAGTGTCTCTCAGACGAAAGAATTCCAAAGTTCCACACCCACATCAAAACATATGGGGCTCTTCAGAATAGAATTATCACAGAGAATCAGCAAAGCGAACTTGAAATCTAGTCAAGAAAAACAGAATCTGAAGGACTCACTAAAAAGACATCTAGCTTCCATTAACCACAGTAAATCAGTCCGTCCATCAACCAGACGCCATGCTAGACGTGTTACCTGCACCCTCTCACTGTATCTTCACACTGCCTTGTAAGGCATGCGCTTTGCAGAGCTACACCAATGAGGAACGAAGGTGTGGCAACTGCCCCAGGACAGTCAGTGGATGAACTGGTGAAGTCAAGATTCAAACTCAGTCTGACTCCAGAGCACATGCTTGCAACCCACCCCTACCCGGCCCCAAATAAACGTTCTGCCTAAACAGAGACCCTTAGCCCATTATATTGTAAAGTCTGCTACTCATTGCCTTCACAGCCACCGAGGCTCCCATGCCAGCACCTTCTCCTTATGAACAAGGCACCCGCGGCTCAGAGCACTAAGGAGATTTTCCTAAATGCTGTAAGCCATGTAACAAGAGTAAAGCAAAGCCTACACACACCCCAACAACCCAGAAACACCATCATTAGGAGAAAAGAGTTTTCTTAACACCAGCGGTCCTTAGCATTTGCTGAGCGGCCACCTGCTGGGAGCTGTGCCAGTGCTCTGGGCACGGCCTCATTAATCACTGAACTGCGTTTGTTACAGCAGAGTCCCGCTCTGCATTCCTAGGACACTGACAGGTCTTTCCTCCGCAGGCCCCAGGTTTCTCTCTCCCATCCCTATGTTTATTTTTAAGATGGAATCTGGCTCTAGTGGCCAAAGATCTGTCCACGTGGACAGTGGCGATTCAGCAGGGCCATCCAGCCGCCCCGGGAAAAGAGCGCCCCCTCCCAAACACAATCAGTGAAGTGAGACCGCCTCAGCTCCAGGTCACAGCAGCCTGGGCTGGAAAGTTGCTGAGACACGGGGTCTGCAAGTGCAGGCCCCAAGTCTCCCCGTGGCAGTATTCTCAGTGATTCCTGGTGCAGCTGCTTTTCCATCCTTCCTTTCCTCACTAACGCCACCTGGTTTCACCATTCTAGGACGACTGCCTACTGTGCCTTCACCAGGAAGAGATTGGGTGGAAGACAGCCCCACCTGGAGGCAGCAGGCAGTAAGGCAGCCCACCAGCTGCCCCCCTCGCTAGCTGCACACTTGGGACAGGTGCACACCACAGACAGTGCTTTTCAGGGGAAAAGCACCTCACATGCTTCATATTGTTTCCCCACAATTAATACCTATTTTCAGGGTGAATTTTGTATTCCTTCTCTTAAAGCAGAAAGAATAGGAAGGCTTAAAAGATTCAATTTCTTTGACATAAGACACTGGGCTTTCTAAAATCATGCACGTCGTCTTCTTGCCTTTAGCTGTAAACAAGGGGAAGGACGGCTTCCCAGGGCTGAGGTAGATGCGGCATCACCCAGGCCCCTGCCTCTGACCCTCTATGGGAGAGCCTTCCCAACCGGGAACTGAGCACGGGCCTGGGTAATGCTGGGCTCCCGGGCTGCTACAGCAGTCAGCACCTTTCTCCTCGTCACCAGCAAAACAGGAACCTGCCCACTAAGTTCTAAATGATCTGAGAGCACCGTCCCCTTTATAAATAAATCTACCTAAGTTCCGTGTCTTCTGAACAGACCTGTGGGCTTCCAGCCCACTTTGCACCTGTTCCTTTTCCAGCCTGGAATGCCTAATCGATTACCATTGGTGGATGCCACACTCCCTTCTGAGAGGGAAGGCTCCAACTGAGGGTGGGGTCAGACCAAAAAGAACACCCAACCGGCTACCGCAATGCCTTCAGACAGCTAAGCTCGCAGCGAGGACTGAGATGACAACCAAGGTTGAAACGAGAGGAGGTGCTCTTCCGAGGTCCCAAAATGAGCCCCGAGCAGAAGGCCCAGAGTGTCAGCCCCAACACTGCCAGGACCCCCCCCCCCCCCCGCACTGGGCTTGCTCACAGGGCTGGTGGTGTCTTTGCCGAGGCTGCCCTTGCTGTTGAGGCTGCCGATCTCCGTCTGTGAGCTGGACTGCGACATCCCCTCGAAGAAGGGCCTGCGGTGAGGAAGCACAGCCAGTCAGTGGCCGCCAGGGCCAGCACAGCGCTCCTGGGAGCTGGGGAGAGCTGGTGTTCCAGAACGATCAGTGATCTGGCCTCAAGGACACCTGGTGAGGGGACACGGCAGAGGGGGACAGGGAGGGACCTGGCCTGAAGGCCTTTGTCAGTTAGAAGCAAACACATGGACTTTGTCCAGACAGTTGGAGGCTCCACAAGAACGAAGAGCGGAGATTCCCTGGCACTGGGGGACGTGAGGGAGGGCCTGGAAGGAGAGGCACGGGAGACAGTTTGCTAGAGGAGCTGGAGTCTCACTTAAGCTTGGGCTTTGGAGTGCTCAGGATGCTCTCTGTCTCCTCCATTTCAGGGCCGCTGTCGCTGGGGTTGTACATCTCCAGACTATCGTACAGTTCATCCAAGTCCTCCTCCACCTCGCGAATCTGCTCCCGGGATACGTGCTCCAGCCCAAAGCCCACCTGCAGGGACAAAGGTCTTCAGTTTAGGGTAATCCCGATTTACAATTACGGTGGACGTGCAACTCCCTCCTCCTGGACAGCTACACTGGCCCCTGGATAGTCCCCATTAAGGGGCAGGCCATAGTTTCACCCTCCTCGGGGCACTCTCTGTGAGCCTGGTGTCAGGAAAAGTGGCAGTGCCAGCATCTCTCCCCCAAGGAGCGGGCACAAGAAAGCCCGGGAGCCATGACCCAGTGACAACCAGCACCAGGCTGGCTAGAGTCCAGGGAGAGACTGCTGCTCTATCAATGGCCAACTCTTGGTTACTCAAGGGTGGAGCACTGAAGACACTCCAGCCTCACACAGCTCTTGCTCACAATGTCCCCCTTGGAATGGGCGGGAAGGGGACCTACAACAACAGCTGGGTTTCCTGCCGATCCCTGTACCAGAGGCTGGGTGTTAAGCAATGGTGGGGCGTACCCCTGCTGCCCATCTCCAAATGCTGAGAAGCCTGGGCGCTACGTGTGAAGTCTTTCTCTTTTCAAGTAGCTTAAAGCCCTTCGTTAGCTACCTTCTCGCTCGGGGGTCCCAGAATCTTGTCTCCCAGAAGCATGAAGAGTGCACCCCAGGAACAAGGGTGCAACTCAGGGAGATTTACTCACCATCCACCTTGAGAGTAAGGGGTCGTACCTCATCTGAAACTTTAAACCGCTTCAAGAGGGCCACGAACTTCTGTTTGATGTTCGGTTGCTGTAGGGACAAATGGCACAACAGTTCTTTTCTTTTCTTTTCTTTTTTTTTTTTTAAATATATTTTATTGATTTTGTACAGAGAGGAAGGGAGAGAGATAGAGAGCTAGAAACATCGATGAGAGAGAGTCATCGATCAGCTGCCTCTTGCACACCCCCTACTGGGGATATGCCCGCAACCAAGGTACATACCCTTGACCAGAATCAAACCCGGGTCCCTTCAGTCCCCAAGCCCATGCTCTATCCATTGAGCTAAACCGGTCTCGGCGGCACAACAGTTCTTAACACCCATTTGGATCAAGTCAACAGCGGGGCTGAGAGCCCACTTTGTGAGAAACTGTGGGAGGACACAAAGGTGGGAAGAGACAGCTTCTGCCCTTCGGCACTTCAAATCTATGACTAATTCCAGGGCACAGCACGGGTCCTGGTGCTGTGGGCGCAGGAGCGAGGAGGTGGTCTCAGGGTGCCCAGGGCCCTGCACCACGCTCACGCTGGTAACATCACATGCGCACCTGCACTCATTACTCTCTCTTGTCCTTCAGACCCATGGTGCCGACCACCTGCACGTACACAGGCATCTCAGACTCAGCGTTTCCCAAACAGGGACTCACTGTCTTCTCCTTATACTCCCTCCCCTGGTCACTGATGTCACCATGCACCCAAATTCCCGACTCTGAACATGGAGTCTCTCCCTCTCCTTCCTGCCCCGTGCTCCGTAACTGCTACCTCTCTCCACCTGTAACACCGCTGCTTTCCTCCGGGCCTCTCTCCTCGCCTCCCTGGGATCACTGCATCAGCCTCAGCAGGCACCGGCCCATGTCCAGCCACTCTCCAGTCTGTCCCTCTAAGCCCAGTGACCATTCCAAATGCAGATCTAATCATGCTCCTCTCTGACCTGAGGTCTCAGAGCCGCACTGCCTGGGTGACAGACTAAGAGCCAAACCAATGTCTGCCCGGAGGGCTAGTTCTGTCTCTAGCCTCATGTCACCCTGCAACCCCACCACCCCACGTTCAAGTGGAAACTAACTGCTTCCAGTTCTGGGAAGAGCTGGGCTCTCTACTGGTGTCTTCTGCCTTGACTAAACCTTGCCCCCAGACCCACTTGGCCAAGTTCTATTTATCCTGAGAAACCCACACCTCAGCGTCTCCTCCCTGAAGCCCTTCCTGCACTCCTGCTCAGTGGTCATGTTTGCCTTTGGCCACCTCTACCCCTTACACAAAGCTCTCTCCGCTGGCACCCATCCCACTGAGCTGTTCAGATGTGCTTGTGTCACTAGACACTGTGAGCTCCTTGATGGCCCTCCTTATCTCTCTCTTCAACTCTGGGCACAATGCCTACCTTGTGGCCATAAGTACTTCCTGCCTGAATGACAGTCTCACTGTTTGGGGATGGAAAAGACAAACTTGCAAGTAAGATGGTGCTACGCCTTCAAGAAAGGGAGGGAGGGCTTCCAAAGGAGGAAAGGTCATTGCCAGCAGAGGAAGAACTTGGGGATCACAGTGACAGAGGTATAAGAGCAGCACCTCGATTCGTGTCTAGAACAAAATGTTCTTGGTAGGGAGAGAATAAAGCATGTGCACAAAAGGAGACAGAAACTACAGCACAATCACCTCGCCTCTGGAAAAGAGACTGAAAAGTGCCTGCAGCCACTAACAAAAGCCTGCGGGGGAGAGGGGAGTGTTAGGAGGGGCACTGAACTCTGGCCCTGTAGCGGGAAGCTATGGCGACCACAGAGAGCCAATCAAGGACTAGGAAACAGTTTCACTCTCTCTAGTCATTAGTCCGCAGGGAACCAAGGCCCCGGTCTTGAGGACTCACAGGGCAGTGGTACCTCAGGAGGACTGGCGATGACAGTCTGGTTCCACGGTGGGATGCCAGCTCAGATACCATAACCATCTGGAAGATCTGGCCCACATTCAGGTCACTCCGAAGGTGATGGGAATCTCTGCTCTTGGGATCCCTAGACTACCAGTCTGCACTAGGGAGAATCAGGAAGCCTCTGGGGGAAATGAAACCGTGAAATTCTCTCCTAAAAACTCCTAACACTTTTGCCTCTCCCACATTTTCACACAGAAACTCCATCATCAAAGTTAATTTAGAAATTCAGATATTTAGTGTTTCGGGACTCTAATTTCACCAAAAACAGTGACTCCTGAGGAAATCTTATGCAGGAGATAATCCAACGGCACTTGTCTCTAAGGTTATGGACCCATTAAGGCAGGAACTGTATCTAATGTAATTAAAGCATATCAAGTCCACAGTTCTAAGCACTAGCCAATTATTTCTGGGTAAATCCAATACATGACTACAAACAGTGATCCTCCTAGAGAGGACTGGCTTCCTCCATGCAGGGGACAGTACGGAACGTGCACCATCATTTCCTGGGAGGGAAGGTGGTGTCTGTGGTGTTCTGCTCCCGGAGGAAGCATTACCTGTTCCAAAATTTCAAACAACCGTTCTCAACCTTTTTTCTATCCTAAGACAACCGTTACATCCGTGATTCTTAATTAGGTGGTGGAGGAGCAGTGCGCAGGGGCATATCAGAACCTTGAGGGGGCGGTCATGTGCAGGCTCTAAAACCTTGAGTAGACCTTCCCATGCCCCCGCCGTCAACTGAAAATCCCAGCTCACACGTCCCCCGGACCTCGGGGCTCACCCTGGTGATGGCGGAGGTGGAGGTGAGTTTCCTCCGGGTCTTCTTCACTTTCCGCAGGTCCTCGTCTTCATAGAACAGGTCCTGGGGCGGGAGGGGCAGAGTGAGGCGGGGAAGCCCGGAGGTCTGGCACTGCTCTCAGGCCCGGCCTGTGGAGTTACCTGTCCATGCAGGGGGTCATCACTGCCTTCCTGCTCTGAAGAGAAACTCTCTTCCTCTTCCTCAGAGTAATTGTCAATATCAGGAGAACGATCTGGAAACAGACACCTCAGTAAGGAGACCTCGCCATGGGAAGGCCTGGCCCGAGGCTGGCGGAATCCTGGCTCTCTGCGGGCGGAAGTGTGGCAGGGGCGGAGGAAGGCCACAGCCATGGGAGGCCACGTTATATTCTCAGGACCTCTAAACTCCTTCCTAAGGACATTGTAGGCACTATCTCATCCCCCTTCCCACACGGAGAGCAGGTGAGGGCTCCTTCTGGATCCACGGGGCCTCCGGACACGGCAAGCATCTCACCAGACAGCTTGGATTTGATTCCTTCGTGGTCGATGGGCTGGCTGGACAGGGAGTAGATCTTTATTTCTGCCACAGGCACGGAGACGTCCTTCACGTTGCTGTGCAGGCCCAGGACCAGGGCGCCCTCGTTAGGGTGCTGCATCACCTAGATCACAGCGGTAATGGGAACGCCTTACTGCGGAGGGGTCCGCAGAGGTGTCCGTTTCCACAGACCCAAGTGGGCGTGCAAGCCAACGGGCATGGCATTCTGCTAATACATTTCCTTTCTCACTATCTTCCAATGTATGGCTACTCTCCTATGCCGGTCAAAGGCTTATTATTATTTTTTAAAATATATTTTATTGATTTTTTACAGAGAGTAAGAGAGAGGGATAGTTAGAAACATCGATGAGAGAGAATCATCGATCAGCTGCCTCTTGCACACCCCCTACTGGGGATGGGTCCGCAACCAAGGTACATGCCCTTGCCCGGAATCGAACCCGGGACCCTTCAGTCCGCAGGCCGACGCTCTATCCACTGAGCCAAACCGGTTTTGGTCAAAGGTTTATTTTTAAACGGTCTCTGGAAGTACCAACCAGCAGTCAGACCACGTGCTTAAAGATAAAAATCAAGGCCTGAGATCGAAAATGGCTGCCAAAGTGTAGGGTGCCATTCCAGCGTAGGTCCTTCACAGAGAAACTAGCTCTCAGGCTGGGTGAGGCCCCCTCCCGGTGAGGAGGAGGACCGCCAGCACAGGAGAGAACCAAAGGGAATGTGGCGTCCAGGCCCTCGCATTGATACCAAACCTGAAGAGGGCAGAAAGATGGGTGGGCTATCCCACATGTTCCACTTATTATGGCCACATTCCCCCCTATTTAACGCACTGACGTACAGAAATAAGTTTGAGAACGGATTTGTGGCCCCCCTCTGCCTCCCCTTTGCCAGAGCTGGGAGGATCTGCCTGGCATGGAGGGGAACTGCAAGCACCCCAAGGATCACGGGAGCCTGTTTCTTACGGTCGGAGAGGTAATCAGAAATATGGAAAGGCTAGAATAAGCCCTATGGTGTCGGATTGGAATTGATTGGCATGTGGGCTTATGATCAGATAGGTAGATATAGATGGGGAAATAGATATGATGTGGATGGGTATATATGTGCATACACATATATGTACATATATTCCCTGGCTCTGTTTAGAAGCAGTGATACCCCAGCTGGGAAAATGAGCACCCCTAGTACCCAGATCTTGGTTCCTAAATGCCATATTCCACTAAAGGAACCAGGGCTCTTCAGAGGATCAGTTCATTCCAAGGCGGGGTCAGAAAAAGTACAAGATGAGTCTAATGCTTTATGTCAGAAAGTAAAGAAGTATGTGAAGAATAAAAAAGGATAGCCCGGCCAGTGTGGTTCAGTGGTTGAGCATCGACCTATGAACCAGGAAGTCACAGTTCGATTTGCAGTTGGGGCACATGACCAGGTTGCCGGCTCGATCCCCAGTGTGAGGTGTGCAGGGGGCAGCTGATCGATTATTCTCTCTCCTCATTGATGTTTCTCTCTCTCTCATCCTCTCCCTTCCTCTTTGAAATTAATACAAATATATATATATTTTTAAAAAGGGATATAAGAGCTAGCCAGAGGGGCTCCTACTGGCCAAATTGGAAATAATTTGAGCATCGAAGTAAATAATGACAGTAGCAGATTAGACTTCACCATAAAGCAGGAATCCATAAGTCCATTATTGATTCAAATAAATGAATCAATCAATAAACGGGGAAGAAAGAAAAGCTCCGTCTTATATCATAAAGCCAACTAATAATATATAGAAGGAATGGTGGGATTAGAAATTCACTCTCTGCAACTAACAAAGCAGTAACTGATTCAGGCAAAAATCACAGATGCTCAAATTAGTTGGTGAAAAAGACTGTTCCATAGTCTCAAAATATAAAATATTTTTTAAATTGGTAAATACAAAATATTTACTAGCTTTATATTGGAAATCGTGGCAGACACCATTTTAATCAAGCAATAAAAGTTAACATCACCAGTAATGGGACAAATCACTAGAAAAACACATCATTAATTCTATGGTAATTCTGCCAAAAATATATATAATCTGAACCTAATCTTCAGAAAACACCAGACAAATCCAAATAAGGAACATTCCATAAAGTCACCAGCCTGTACTCTTAAAAAATGGTAAGGGCATGAAAGACAAGGCCTGTTGTAGGTTGAAGGAAACTAAGGAGACATGACAACACACAATCCTAGGTAAAACCCTGGGTCTAGAACAGTGGTCGGCAAACTGCGGCTCTCGAGCCACATGCAGCTCTTTAGCCCCTTGAGCGTGGCCCTCCCACAAAGTATCACATGCGAGCGCACACATACAGTGCGATCGAAACTTTGTGAGCCATGCGCAGAAGTCAGTTTTTGGCTCTCAAAAGAAATTTAAATTGTTGCTCTGTTGACTAATGAGTTTGCCGACCACTGGCCTAGAAGGATATTATTGAGGCACGGCACAATCATTGGAATGGGGACTCTGAATTAGATGATAACCTTGTATCAGTGACACTGTCCTGATCTTCATGAAGGCATGGTGTTCACATAACTTAGGAAATTAACATAGAGCAATATTAATGTGCAATGGGGCATCATGTCTGCAACTTACTCTCAATGGTTCAAAAAAGAAAATCCACAAATATATACATAGAGGAAAAATAAGGCAAATGTGGTAATACGTTAACACTGGATAATCTGGGTAAAGGGTATATGAGAATTCCTTATATATTCTTACAATCTTTCTATAAGTTTGAATTAAAAAAATATATTTTATTGATTTTTTACAGAGAGGAAGGAAGAGGGATAGAGAGTTAGAAATATCGATCAGCTGCCTCCTGCACACCCCCTACTGGGGATGTGGCTGCAACCAAGATACATACCCTTGACCAGAATCGAACCTGGGACACTTGAGTCTGCAGGTCAATGCTCTATTCACTGAGCCAAACAGGTCAGGGTGTGAATTTTTTTTTAAGTTAAAGAAAAAAAAACTTGATGCGTAGGAGAAAGTACTTGAAAAGAGGTATATCCTGCATTTCCAATATAAGAATTAACTTATCAAATGAAACACCCCAGCAGCAGGCTGAGAAAATCATCTGCTGGGCTGTCATGGCTGGGCCTGGTGTGTCTCTCAGACAATGACTTAAAGGCCAACCGTCTGGAGACTGAGTTCCTCTCACCTCTGCCATGTTGATGAGTCCCACGGCCAGGGTCTTATAGCCCAAGATAGTCCGGTTCTTGTAACGCTTTCTCCTTTGCAGCATGATCTGCAGTTTATTGGCATCTCGCTTCAGGAAGTGAGGGTACTGCCAAGTGCAAAACAGAGTCAAGCATGGTTAATGAGCAATGGGGCCTTGGTGGGATTGTCCTGCTAGAGGGCACACAATCTTCCTGGGCTTCCCCATCTCCTGTCTGTTTATGGGTGGGGAGGGGTAAGGGTAAAGGAAGTGTCATTGCATTGCTGCTGGGGGTCTGCTTCTGCTTGGTACCTGGCTTCCACTCTGCAGTCCAAAAGAACAAAGAACAGAACAAAGAGAAGATCACTTGATGAAAAAAAGGGTCAATTCATTAAGAAGACTTACTCCCACATGTTTATATATCTAATAACAGGGCTTCAAAATGCATGATCATCAAAACCTGTGCCTGGCTTAGGACCGTCACAGTTTGAACTTTCAGTTCTTTTTGTCCCCATCATCTTGTGACTGGCTCTTTCCTAAAATCCAGCTCTCAGCTCAAATATTTCCTTTTCCTCCTCAGTGAAGCCTTGTGTGTGTGCCCCTCAGCCCAACCTGCACCCTCTCCAATCTGGGACCCCTCGAGGGATGTCCGATTGCCCATTTAGACCCAACCCTTCTGGGATTGGGCCTAAACAGGCAGTTGGACATCCCTTTCACAATCCAGGACTGTTGGCTCTCAACTGCTCCCTTGCCAGCCTGATTACCCCTAACTGCCCTCCCCTGCTGGCCTGGTTCCCCAAAATGCCCTCCCCTACAGGCCTGGGACCCCCAACTGCTCTCCTCTACAGGCCTGGGTCCCCCCCAAACTGCCCTTCCCTGCAAGCCCAGTCTCCCCTAACTTCCCTCTTCTGCCGGCCTGGTCACCCCTAACTGCCCTCCCCTGTAGGCTTGATCGCCCCCAACTGCCCTCCCTTGCAGGCCTGATCCCTCCCAACTGCCCTCCCTGCTGGCCATCTTTGACCACATGGGGGCAGCCATGTTGTGTGTTGGAGTGATAGTCAATTTGCATATTACTCTTTTATTAGATAGGATTACCCAGTTTCCTCTCCTTCACTATCCTCTCCACATCGGAAATTATCTTGTTCTCTGATGACTTTATATTGCCTGTCTTTTTCACCACTGAGTCTCCACTGTCTACAGCAGTGCCCGGCACAGAGCACATTTCAGAAAACTGCCTCTTTCCTGGCCATGTGCTCAGGCGTTTTCTCTGTGCATTCAATTTGGCCGACTGGGATTGTGATGACAGACAGACACAAAAAGGAGAAGGGAACGGATGGAGATTACAAGATGAGGGCAAATGGTTGTGTGCTGTGACTCACTAAGAGGTGATGGGGCAGAGCGTGGTAGGACAGGTGAGCTAACAGCCTTATCTAAGGAAAGGAAAGAGAAGAATGAGACACGGTATATTTTTCAGCAGCCCATTCAGGTCTTGGCATCTTTATCATGGCTGGCTAAGTGACTACTCTGGCCCTCAAGGCTAATCATGTGAGCTCTAGGTGACTTGAATCCATTTCTGCTCTGGCTAATTCACTGGGTGACTTCCATTCATGGGGCTACGTCTGCTCTTGGATCAAACGGTTTCCAGATCAGAGGGCTGTCTAGGGACGTGACTGGACATGGCATATTGTGAGCAGATTCTTACCTGAAGGGAGAAGGTTAGTTGGAGCTCTGTTTCCACCAGTCCACTGGCTGGAAGGATGATCTCATTGGAGCGAAGAATCCTTTTTGAACCCTGAAACCAATAAAACACTAAGTCAAAGCCATGTCACCGAAAACCGGCTGAAAGAAATACTATGTTGGCAAACAACTTTGAAAAACTCCACACTGTTACCAGTCCTTGTTGTATTAGAATGAAGGCACACCCCAGGTATACTGTATGTTGTTACTGTCCTGTAGGTTTACAAAGGGTCTTCGCATTGAAATGGTTTGTTACTGCATCCGAGTTTTCCCAATACTCTGGAGGAAGAGGCGAGCAGGTGCCATCCCCCAGGGTGTGGCGTGACTTCCCCACGCTCACCCAGCCTGGCTCTTCCTCTCTGACTCCTCAGCAGCACTGTCCTGTCGGTGTGGTTTTTTCTCTTCTCAGATGCTCTTTCAGGCAAATCAATTGTCTTTCAGGTCTCAGCCCAACGACAACTTTTTTTCAAGGAAACTTTCCTTTTAGCACCCCCTGCGCCCAACTTCCACTGTATTAGACACCGCAGTGCTTTTAGCTCTAAAAAAAATAAAGTGAAGCCAAACTATCCTAAACTATCAAGAGTTACGCAGGAAGATCTGAGGAATGCAAGTAAATGTCTATAAATGATTTTTTTAAGTTGAGGTTTGACCTAAACACAGTGAAGTGCCCAAGTCTCCAGTGCAGACTGATGAGTGGATAGATGCACACACTGAGTGCCCCACATCTGTATCAACATGGAGAACACTTACTCTGGAAAAACCCCTCGGAACCTTCCCAATCTGCACCCCTCCCAGAGGCAGGTACTGCTCTGACTTCCTTCACAATAGATTAGCTTGGTCTGTTCTAAAGTTTCACAGACGGAACCATCAGTATGCACTATTCTGCTAGGGCTTCTTCTGCCCACACACTGCATTTGAGGTCAACACAGGTTGTTGCGCGGGCCATTCATTCCTTTTTATTGCGAAGCAGAGTTCTGTTCTAGGCACACGTGTACCACACTTCGTTTATGCATGCTCCTGCTGCCGAACACTCACAATTGGTTGTTCCTAGTTTTGGTTGTTTCCAGTAATTATGGCTAAAGTTAAGTCTGTGGTGTGTGTGTTTTCCTTTTTCTTGGGCAAATGCCTAAGAGAGGAAGTGCTGGGTTTTAGGGAGATGCATGTTTAAGAGAAACCAGCAGCCCCACAGCTTCATGAACACTCGGGAAAGCTGATTGGTGGATTCTAATGGATGCGGTCAGTGCGATATCATTGTGGTTGGAATTTGCATTTCCCTGATGAGTAACAATATTGACAAAGTTTTCATTAGTTTTTTGGTCATTTGTAAATTTCCATTTATGAATACGTATTTCATCAAATGTCTTAACCCAGGTTGCTTATCTTACTACGTTGTAAGCTTTTAAACTTATACATGACATTGTCAGATATATGTATTGTAAATATTCTGCCTATCCATTTTCTTAATAATAAGTTGATGAAGAATTTAATTCTGATTTAGTCAACTTTATTTTTTCCTCTTATGCTCAATGCATTCTGGATCCCAGTTGAGAAATCTTTGCCTAGTCCAAGGTTGTATTCTGCTTATCAAGTTATTCTGCTATATCAGAGCAGATATTCTGCTATATTTTCCTTTAGAAATTTAAAATTTTTATTATTTACTTTTAGGTTTCTTATTCATTTCCACTTTTTAAAAATAAAATGCGTTTTACAATGTTTTATAATTAGAATAACGCTATACCAATTAAAATAATAAAGGGAATGGCTTTATCTGTTAGACAATGCTTTTTATAGTAACCTCTATTACAAACAAGAATCCTGACAAAGTTGTCACCTGAGTTAATTTAGGCTTTTAAGAAATCTCTGTAAAATGAATCTCAGAAATATGAGATAACCCTAAAGGTGGTTTATGTATATTTCTGCCGTGGGTGGAAGACACTGGCATGGTTTGGAGATGTTTCTAGGTGTCAGACCTGGGGTGTGTGCTGAAGACCCTGCTTCCCGGAGCCCGCTCACATGGTGGCTGCTCTTCCCCACAATCCACATGCCACTGGGCGTGGAGGCGGCGCGGGCGTCCTCTTGCTCATCACCAGCTACAGAACATTCTCCCTTCCACCTCCCTAGCCCCCCCTTTGAATTGAAGTCTTAAGACTATATTATCCTCTATTCTTCGCTGTTGCTGTCACCTAGAACTGCCAGTCATTCCTGCTCATGTCTTGATTTTGGCTCCTCACTCACTGTTTCTCTCCCCAATACTACTCCAGTCCTAACTCGATGATTTCAATATACGTATGGTCTTTCCAACACCCTGACTCTAAACCCCAAGTCCTTCTCTTCCAGTGATCTTGTCCTCACGCTTGTCCTAGCCACTCACATGGTCATACAAGCAATACTTCCCAGAAATCTCAGCTTTATGCATCCCACTCACTCTCCACTGGCACTTCCTATCTTTTCGCTCACTCTCTCTAGTTTGTCAACAATGACAATCCTTCAAACTCACCAAACCTACAACCCACTGATCCTCCCACCCTTTCACTCTCCCTCAGGTCCCTGCTCTTCCTGCTTTCCTCCTTGCCCAGCTTAAAAGCCACCATCAATCTTTATAAGGATGTCCTTGCCCATGCCCTTAACTCCTTTGCCTGCTATTGTTCTGAGTACTCGTTTGGTAAATTACAACCTGTTTAAATCCAACTGCACCAGCTGAACATGCCTGAGAGAATCCTATAATCAGGCTAACGGTTCTGACTGTAAATGTATGACCCCAAATCTTCATGCTGCCAGCAATCTCTGCATTCTCCAAGTCCTTCCATCTTCTAAGCCGATAATCTTGATTCCTACTTTGCTGAGAAAAGTGAAAAGTAGGAAAAGAGCTCCCACAGCTCCCGCCACACCCACCACTTCCTGACCACCTTTGTACTCACACCTCCTCCCTCCTGGGACACACATGAACCCGTGCTCCTGGCCTGTCAGTCGCTCTCCTTGCGATCTCATCCCTTCTCACTTACTCAGACTGTTCTAGCCATTCTCCCTCGCCTACATAATCACCTTTCTTCTCTATTCTGAATCATTTCCCTTAACGAAAACATGCCATTATTTTTTTTTAAGGTCTCTCTTGTCCCCACATGCCCTGTTGACTACCACCCCTACCTCACCTTCCTTTTATAGCAAACTCAAGAGTTGTCTCTTTTCGCTCTCCTTAAGTCTTCTCCCATTTCCTCTTAGATGCATCCCAGTCAACCTTCCTATACCACCATCCCACCAAAACTGCTACGGACAAGGGCTCGGCTAACTTCCACTCGGAGGAACTGACGATCTGTTCTCACCTTCCCGAACCTGTCTGCAGCTCTGACAGAGCCATCCCCTCTCTGTCAGCAACACTTCCTCCATTGGGCTTCCAGAACACCACTCGCCTGGATTTCCTCTTCCCTCCTGCTGCTCTTTCTTGATTTCAGGTCCTTCTTGTCCATGACTTTTTAATAGTGGGGTGCCTGAGCCTCAATCCTTAGACCTGTCCTCTTCTTTATATGCACTCCACTCCCGGTGATCTCATCTAACTTAAGGCCTCAAATATGTCGATGACTCTCCAAATGATTTCTTTCCCCGACACCTCTCCCTGGAACTCTAAACTCATACATTCAGCTCTCTTTTGATATCTCCTCCTGGATGTTTAATAGCCCTCTCAAACATAATATGATAACCTGAAATTTGGACTTTCCCTCCAAACCGGTTTCACCCAGTCTTCCCCATCTCGCCTAGAGGCATTTTCACCCCACCAGCTGCTTAATCAAAAACCCTGCCACCATCTCTCCTGTTGCACCATCACTGTTGTAGCCTATCAGCTGGTTCTCCTGGCTCCTCTCTTAGTCTCTCTCCACACAGCAGCCAGGGCGGTCCCATCACTTTCTGTTCGAGCGAAACCCTCCAATTCACACAGAACGAAAGCCAGAGACCTTGCAGTAATCTGCACACATCCTCTCCCCATCCCTGTTCAACCTCACCTCCTCCAGCTCTCACTCCTCTCCAGCCTCACTGGCCTCCCCCTTCTGGATTCTGCCAGACATGCCAACCACAAGCATCCCAGACACACTCCTGCCTCTGGGTCCTGTCTTGGCGTTTCCCTCTGCTTGCAATGCTCTTCCTCCAGATTTCTGCATGGCTCCCTCCCCCACTTCCTTCAAAGTCTTCTCAGTGAGGCCTACCTTGACCAACACGAATAAATTATAATTTGTAACCCCCACCCTCACCCCGCTTGCTCCATCTCCTTTCTCTTATATTGTTTACTTATTTCCCCCACAGGACCAATCACCTTCCAACAGCAGCAGTCCTCATTATCTGAACCTTCACTATCCAAATATGTGCTATAAATACCTGTAAACATTTCTATCCCAAATGCATTATCTGGATTGCAAACCTGTTAAAGGGAACTGCATAGGCAGGTAGCAGGACATAAGAGTACAGTGCAGTCACAGCTCTGGCACTTTAAAAGCATGATGCATTTCTGCTTCATCTTTCCCCCTTTCTCCAAAGACTAAGACCTTCATGGTCCCAATATTTGCTTCTTCCAGGTGCCTAAGATACCAACTTGAGTCCAATTTAAAAATTATCTTTAGTATCTTTAGGTATCATTTAAAATCTATATAATAGTATACCTTCATTTGCAGTATAGAAGCAAAACAATTTAAATCTGATACTATAGAATCATTACTTATAGCACATAAAGATATCTATCAATGAATATTAATATATTAAAAGTTAAGTCACTGGTGTTTTATTTTTAATTTTTAAAAAATTTTATTGATTTTTGAGAGACAAACATTAATTTGTTGTTCCACTTATTTATGCATTCATTGGTTGATTCTTGTAAGAGCTCTGACTAGGGATTGAACCCACAATCTTGGCATAAGGGGATGACACTCTAACCAACTGAGTTAGCTGGCCAGGGTATCACTGGTGTTTTAAATTCTTCTTTTTTAAATAAAAGTACTCTCTGTGGATTGTCACAAAAATATTTAAGAGTGCTGTAGTGATATTTCAGGAAATAGGCTGAGATTTAAGATGTCTGAAATGCATTGCTATTTTTCCCATTTAAATAATGGAAGATAGACTTCTACCATCCAAAATGTTTTTTTAAGAATAGATTAAATTTCAAGGAAGGCCTGGATATAAGTTTTTATTTATTTATTATGTTTATTGTCTCTTTCCTTCTAATACAATAATTTTGAACTCTTTAGTCACAGTATCTTTTTAAAGTCTTAAAAATTATTAATGCCCTAGCTGGTTTGGGTCAATGGATAGAGTGCCGACCTGCGGACTGAAGGGTCCCAGGTTTGAGTCCAGCCAAGGGCACATGCCTGGGTTTTGTGTTCGATCCCCAGTAGGGGGCATGCAGCCAATCAATAAATCTCTCTTTTCCTCTCCCTTCCTATGTGCCCTTGACCGGAATCGAACCCAGGACCCTTCAGTTAGCAGACCGACACTCTATCCACTGAGCCAAACCATCTAGGGCATACCAGTGATAATTTCTTAGTTTTGATAAATGCATTATGGTTAAGAAAGATGCTAACATTGGGAGAAGCGGGTTGAGGGGTGTACAGGATCTCTATTGTCCTATTCCAGCATCTCTTCTGTAAATTTAAAATTATTCCAGATAAAAAGTTAAAGATAAAATCCAATCCATTGGTCTATTTTGGTCTTTGAATGAATCTTTCACCCAACATAACTCTGTGGCCTCATGCATCCGTCATTTGGAAAATAATGGTTCACTGAATTATGTAAAATTTTCAAAAGTTATATATTTCATTATACAATATTTTAAAAAATCACCACCGATATTTTCAGAAAAGTCTATAAGAATTGGGAAGCTGTTAAGCCTACAGTGACAGAGACAGGTTTTTTGTTTTTGTTTTTTAAATATATTTTATTGATTTTTTTTTTTTTCAGAGAGGAAGGGAGAAGGATAGAGTTAAAGACATCGATGAGCCGAAACCGATTTGGCTCAATGGATAGAGCGTCAGCTTTGGGACTGAAGGGTCCTGGGTTCGATTCCGGTCAAGGGCATGTACCTTGGTTGCGGGCATATCCCCAGTAGGGGTTGTGCAAGAGGCAGCTGACCAATGACTCTCTCTCATTGATGTTTCTAACTCTGTATCTCTCCCCCTTCCTCTCTGTACAAAATCAATAAAATATATTAAAAAAATATTTTTTAAAAAATAAAAAAATAAAGTCATCGATGAGAGAGAATCATCGACCAGCTGCCTCCTGCACACTCCCTACTGGGTATGTGCCCGCAACCAAGGTACATGCCCTTGACCGGAATCGAACCTGGGACCCTTGATTCCGCAGACCGACGCTCTATCCACTGAGCCAAACCGGCCAGAGCCAGAGCCAGAGCCAGGTTTTTAAAAATTCTGATTTTCACGTGAAAGTTCAAATTTTATTTATCATTAGTCAAAAATATTCTCAGTTCTTTCCTTTCAAGTGACAGTTCAAGAAAATAACTTCTGAATACCCAGGTCTGAATACCCAGTTTGTCTGAAAGCCCTTCTCTCAGAGTAAAAATGGCTCCATGAAAAAGCAGGGACTTTGGCTCGCTGCACAGCACTAGTCCCCGAGGTCGCAGCCTTCCTCGCCACGAAACAGAAGTGCTTCATGCATGGTACCCGTTTCATCACCGGAATGTTAGAAAGGCAGGGAGTGCAGGGTTAAGATACAGTGAATTAGCCATTTTTACTATTTCTTCAAGGACATTCGTAAGCAAAACGGGGAGTCTGATGGTAAACAATGCAGTAACTACTGGTACAACCTTGGGAACTGCCTTGCTGTGCACCGAGAACCTGCTGCTTTACCCACCACTGCCCACTTCAATGCAATGTCGCCAGAAGCGGAAAGGACAGATAATGCCACATGTTATGGTGAAGATCACTTCAGCCTGTGTCTCTCCTGAAAGGGGGTGAGGGAGCCCAGAGTCTGCAGACCTCATTTTGAAAACTGCTCCTCACCCAGAACGCAAAGGTGCTCCAGGCAGGGATTTTGGTCTGTTTTGTTCACTGCTGTATCAGGCCTCTGTGCCTCGAACAATGCTAAGCATATAACAGATGCTTAATAAATATGTATTAAGCGAATAACTGGATAAATGAATGTGATAACATCTGTAATTACTTTCAACTGCTTAGAAATAAAACAATAAAATTCAGAATATTTGCAGTTTTTGGTATAATTTAAAATTTTATAGAATGTTCAATATTTATCCAGGAAATAAATTATTTCTTCTGGCAAAGGCATTTAACTGCAGGGTGGTAAGAGCAGCAGGGAGCTTTCGAAACCATACAACAGTGTCTGCACTAGAAAGCACCAGCTTTTAGCAAAGGAAACAAGCCCTGCCCATGCCCCACAGTGGGACATGCCTGTGACCTAGAAACGGGTGCAGAGCCCGGAAGGAGGGGAAGATACTGAGAGTTCCCACTTGCATGTACTTGCCCCACACTTTCTCTTCCGGCCCCTCGTGTCTGCGTATGTGTCACAGAATTGGAAGAATCATGTCCAAAAATGAACAGGGAATAAGAGTAAAAGGTGGGACACAAAGGATTTCATAACAAGTAATTTAAACGTTTTAAGTTTTGAGATCTAATTTAGAAAATGTTATCTCAGAAACAAAGGACCTCAGGGTATGGGTCACATACTGTGAGCGCTGTAGATGTGGATGGTAATGAAACCAATGGCAGTACAAAAACTGCTGTATGACAGTTGGTCTGGCTCATAAAATATCCGGGTAATATGGAGTTACCATAGAGTTCACTATTTTTTAATGACCAAGAATTAAATATATATGCCACGCTTAAACGGAAGAATTCAAGAACTATTGAATGATTCCAGAGGCATTTGAGAATCTCAGTATACTCTAGGGAGACGTCATTAGAGAAGACTTATCAGTTAAGAAGGTCTGGTAATGGTGTTTAGTGGCCACATAAATTACCAGCTCTTCAATTTCTAGTCCCACTCTGCCATTCAGTAATTAGCTGGCAACAAATACATTCCTTAACTCTTTTGTAATTCACTTTTCCCCTTCTTCCCAGAAATTCAGGAATGCTTAGAATATGAAAATATGTGAGCCCTAGCTGGTTTGGCTCCGTGGATAGTGCTTCGGCCTGCGGACTCAAGGATCCCAGGTTCGATTCCGGTCAAAGGCATGTACCTTGGTTGCGGGCACATCCCCAGTGGGGAGTGTGCAGGAGGCAGCTGATCTATGTTTCTAATACTTTATCCCTCTCCCTTCCTTCTCTGTAAAATACCAATAAAATATATATATTTTTAAAAGTATGTGAAATACTTTGGGTCCCTTGAAGCTACTGAGTCAAGAATAGGGAGGTAAATGTGGGGATTGCTTAGAATATAAAATATCCCAGTAAAATGTTAATCTCTAATTCTGAAATAATAATCCATAAATTTCTTCTATCTTATAGAAAACCTCCAAAGAAAATAAGATATTCTATCTTATTTTAGAATATAAGATATTCTATCTTATATTCTAGATAGAATATAAGATATTCTATCTAGAATATAAGATATTCTATCTTATATTCTATAAGATAAAATTTCTTCTATCTTATAGAAAACCCCAACGCCTGTATCTGCGTGGCCTGTAAATCTTGGGATAAAGGCTGAAAGGGATCTAAGCCCCCTAGCAGACTGCACGGTTTACCAAGCACGTCCTTGGCACCTGCGTCACTGGGCCTTCACACTAGCTGTCATGGCAGGGCAGAAGGAGCCTCTTTTGTTCTCTACATGGAGTAACTAAGGCTAAGGAAACTTTAGTGCTTTGCCTAAGAGTCAGCACTGGGATCAGGGGGGTCTCATGAGCTCAATCATCTTTCCAGCGCTGCACTTCCTGTTCTGGGTGAAAGGGAGAGAGGTGGTCCCCATCAGCACTTCTGAAGCCCTAATAGTGGGCAAAGGTTATCAGCTTCTTTGAACCCTGAACAAACAATCCTGTCAACTCACCTGTAGCTTCACGGCGATGACCACTGAGTTCAGATCTTTGTCCATTTCTTTCAGCATGACCAGCTTCTTCAGGGTCAAGCTGAACAGCCTAGACAAATTCAGAGAGAAGATCCAGTCAGACGTAAGGAACTCATGAGAAAAGTCACTGACATTCTGTTGGAGAAACACTGCTTTATCTGAGGTAAGAATGTCAGAATGCCGTTCTCAGTCCACACTGTGTCTTCTGCTAGTAAATGAGCAGCTACCCCTTTTATTTAACTGTTGTACTGGAGAAATGTCAAACAGGCACATTATCCCACTAACCTCCGGGTACCCATTCACATCGAGCCCAAACCAACATGTATGGTACTGAAAGAACAGAAAGCAAGCTCAATGGAATAGACCAGAACACCCAGAAACAATCCCACAATTATACAGAAACTTGACATAAAAAAGGGCAGTAATAAAATAACTGGGAAAAGAATAAACTCTGAAATAAGAAAATTTGAACCCTATCTCACACTAAATATAAAAAATAATCTCTAGGTGAATATTAAATACTTAATTATCAAAGGCAAGATTTTAGGAGAAATATGGGAAATATCTTTCTGACTCTGAGGTAAGAGAGGATTTCTTTCTTTCTTTTTTTTTTTTTTTTTAATATATTTTATTGATTTTTTACAGAGAGGAAGGGAGAGAGGTAGAGTGCCAGAAATGTCGATGAGAGAGAAACATCGACCAGCCGCCTCCTGCAACACCCCCCACTGGGGATGTGCCCGTAGCCAACATACATGCCCTTGACCAGAATCGAACCCGGGACCTTTCGGTGCGCAGACTGACGCTCTACCACTGAGCCAAACCGGTTTCGGCAAGAGTGGATTTCTTAAATAAGGCACTGAAAACACTGATAAATTCAATTATTTTAAAACTAGTGCCTGGTGCACTGATTGTGCACATTGAAAGGAAATTAATTAGAAGCAATATTTTAATATCGCTATTTGCCCTTTCCCTATATTAGAAGCATCAACCAAATTCATGATCGACAATGAGAGATCAAAACACACACGTGCCGAAACCGGTTTGGCTCAGTAGATAGAGCGTCGGTCTGCGGACTGAAAGGTCCCGGGTTCAATTCCGGTCAAGGGTATGTACCTTGGTTGCGGGCACATCCCCAGTAGGGGGTGTGCAAGAGGCAGCTGATCGATGATTCTCATCGATGTTTCTAACTCTCCATTCCTCTTTCTCTCTGTAAAAAAAAAAATATCAATAATATATATATTTTTTAAAACACACAAGTGACTAGCGCCAGTGACAGCTTTATTTATATTGCGCATGCACAAGCTTCGTGTATGTGTGTGTGTGTGTGTGTGTGTGTGTGTGTGTGTGTGTGTGTATAAAATAAACTGGCTTAATTAGACATGCTTTCTTTCTTTTTTAATGTATTTTATTGATTTTTTTTTTTTTTTTTTTTTTTTTACAGAGAGGAAGGGAGAGAGATAGAGAGCTAGAAACGCCGATGAGAGAGAAACATCGACCAGCTGCCTCTTGCACACACCCCAACGGGGATGTGCCCGCAACCAATGTACATGCCCTTGACTGAAATCGAACCTGGGACCTGTGGGAAGAAAACAAAGCCAATTGGATCTCTTTTTTCTCATCTGGCTGAGATTTCAAGTGAGAACTCATTCATTGTCCAATGGAATTAAAGGGTCATTTTATTACTATTACCCACACTGTACCATTCCTATTTCTACTTGAGTTTAAAACCTGCCACCTTTTGGAAGGTAGAGGAAGAGAAAGATAGAAACATCAATGATGACAGAGAATCATAGATTGGCTGCCACCTGCACACCCCCCACTGAGGATAGAGCCTGCAACCTGAGCATGTGCCCTAACCAGGAATTGAACCATGACCTCCTAGTTCATAGGTCGATGCTCAACCACTGAATCACACCAGCTGGACTTGAGCAGTTTTTGCTCAGATGCTGGCCTCATCATTTCTGCAGTATTTTCTTGCTTCCATCTTAAATTTCCATCTGTTCTTCTATCCTTGACCTCTGTTCTTTGTCACCTCTTACCCATAAGGCTTCAGGTTTCCATTGTCATTTCATTCCACTGAAGCCACCACAGAGTCTGGAGGAAACTGACAAAAAAAGCCATAATCTTTCAACTCTCCTCCTTCCAATTACAATTTTTTAGGAGTCAACTCTCCTCTAGCATCTAACCGTTTTTTAATGCTTTTAGTAGTTTATTTTTCCATATATATATTTTTAGATTTTCTCATTTTTATCTATGGAAGGATTTGAGCAACCAACTTCAATGTACCTTTTTTTTACTGGAGACTTCCTCTAATTCAATTGAGAATAATTTACAATTAAATGTACTTTTTAAAAAATACATATTTTATTGATTTTTTTTTTTTTAAAGAGAGGAAGAGAGAGGGATAGAGTTAGAAACACCAATGAGAGAGAAGCATCGATCAGACGCCTCCTGCACACTCCTCCTGGGGAGGTGCCCACAACCACGGTGCACGCCCTTGACCGGAAATCGAACCTGAGACCTTTCAGTCCACAGGCCGATTCTCTATCCACTGAGCCAAACCGGTTTTGGCAAGTAATTACTATTTATATGACTCTAATAAAGCATAAATATTTACATATGTGCAATGCATAATAGGAACAGAGAAATAGGATGGGGAGAAGTGAATAAATATGAATAAGTTTTGCCCCCAAATCCTATATAATAAAAGCCTAACATGCAAATTGTCCCCTCAACTGGGAGTTCGACCGCTCATTATGACATGTTCTGACCATCAGAGGGCGATGCAAAACATGGTAGGTTTTGGCGACGTGGTGCTGGTAGTGGAGGCATTGCGGGCCCTAATGGGCCCTGAAGAGAGTGGGACCACAGCGGGATGATGGAGCAGGTGAGTGGGCGGCACCAGGCCAAAGTGGATGTAAGCGGGGCATGATTGCCCTGCAGATGGCGACAGGTGCGGCAGTGGGGGGGCAGGTCAGTCACCTGGCTCCTAGGCACTGAGGGAGCCGGTGAGGGCCCGATGACTCAGGCTGAGGGGGCACATGGGGCCCTGGGGGTCCAGAGGTCAGCTGGGACCTGCTCTTCCTCGCTTGATGCTCACGCTTCGGTCACCCGCCAGGCCTAGGGACTGCACCTGTGCACAAAGTCCGTGCACCAGGCCTCTAGAGTTTTTATAAGGTACCAAATAGACATTAAAAACAACAACAACAACAACAACAGAAGAGGAACACAGAGGCGGAATGCAGGTAAAAGTGCTACTTATAGACTGAGGATCTGATTTAGTAAACTTCACAATTCCAGATCACAGTTAGTGTTATGCTATGAGTAACTGTTTAAAAATCCTCACCTGAGGATAAGTGTGTTTTTTATTGATGTTAAGAGAAACATTGATGTGAGAGAGAAACAATCGATTGGTTGCCTCCTGTACTCTCCCTGACCAGGGATTGAACCCCCAACCTTCTGGTGTACGGGACAATGCTACAACTGAGCTATCCAGTCAGGGCTCCTATGGAATGCGCTATGAGCAACTTTTTAAAAAGTGTCTGTGTGTGTGTGTGTGTGTGTGTGTGTTTACAAAGTATTACTGGTACAGTGTAGAAAAAGATATCTAATTTATTTTGAAAATATAAAGTGAAAGAAACATCTCTATACTCATAAACCTCTGGAGAGAATTATTGCTAAAAAAGTCTGGGGGGGAAATATGTGTATGTGGGTCCACCAACCTTTGAGCATATATTTATGTGCTTCTTTCTTTTTTTTAAATAAAATATATTTTATTGATTTTTTACAGAGAGGAAGAGAGAGAGAGAGAGAGTTAGAAACATCGATGAGAGAGAGTCATAGATCAGCTGCCTCTTGCACACCCCCCACTGGGGATATGCCTGCAACTAAGGTGCATGCCCTTGACCGGAATCGAAACCGGGACCCTTCAGTCCCCAAGCCGACGCTCTATCCATTGAGCCAAACCGGTCTCGGCTATGTGCTTCTTTCTTTTTAACCAAATGGATATTTTACAATTTACATTGATTAAGTGGACATCTTTCCATGTTAGTAATGTTCCTGGACTAAATCTGAAGAACTGTCTCCCCCATGGTATGCAGCCATGATGTCTCAGTTGCCTTTTATTTTTTGAATTCTTGTTTTTACTTTAAAAAATATATATTTTATTGATTTTTTTACAGAGAGGAAGGGAGAGAGAGAGAGAGAGAGCTAGAAACGTCGATGAGAGAGAAACACCGATCACAGCTGCCTCTTGCACATGCCAGCAACCAACGTATATGCCCCTGACCGGAATCGAACCTGGGACCCTTCAGTCCGCAAACAGACACTCTACCACTGAGCCAAACCGGTTTCAGCTTGTTTTTATTTTTAAAACTGACTTAGAAGGGCTGCCCCTGCATCTACATAGTTTAGTGACCAGCCAATAACTGGTTAAAGATTCAACTCACACATTGTAAGGCAGCTAGACTTCCAACCTCGGCCCATGGAGCTGTGTAGGGGTTATGGAATACAAAGTTCAGGTCTGACCAGCGCTTACTTTCTGCCGGACCCTCCTGCATCTCTGCACATTTATTTAATTCCCCAGCCAACGAAGGCTATATGGGGACTTGGGACCTCTCCAGTCTTTCCTGCATAGGCTTCCTGTCGGTCAGGAATGTGTAGAGAGCTTTTCAAGCCTTTCTAAGTCTGTGCCATTTCCAGGATCTGTTAAGTTTCAGCTCATCCACCAGTCTGTGGCTTAACCTAACCGGGACAGCTATTTAGGCTACCAGAACTGCCTTGTTCAGTTGCCACTGAGATCATTACTTTCACTGACAATGCCAATGGGCTTTTCACCTGCTCCAACTCCAGTGGGCTTCCTCTAGGAGCCAAGTTGCTAATTTTCATAGTCTGCCCCACCCTGAGAGAGCTGCTACACTAATGGAGCGGTGGCAGGGGCTGGGGGGACGGGGGAGAAAGGTGGTCAGTAATCCCAGGCCAGAACATAAAAAATTCCCACTGTTCTTCCCTTAAGTTCAGCAATTTTTTACGGATAAATGCTTCTTGATTCGTTGTTTCATTTGTTCTATA